GACCAATGAGACTGTCCTCACGTGATAGCAAATTGGTCTCCTATTTTCACCGATATGAAAAAGCAAGCTCTGCTTTCAAGTTCTTGACAAACTAACATGCTTTCCACAAACTCATGTTGCTTCAAAGACCCTACATAAAAGAAATACTGCAGTTGCATTGGTTATATTTTGTGTCACCGTGGGGACACACTGGGTACATGGAGATAGTTAAGCTGGGATTTTACATAGAACAGAACAAAGGAATACCTAAAAAAGAGTTTTTGCTTTTCTTTTTAAGACTTAATTTTAGTTTTTAAACTTTTTATTTTTTGAGAATTTCATACGCTATATTTTGATCATGCCCTTCCCTTCTCAGTTTTCCCCAGATCCTCCCTACTTCATTACTCACACAACTTGATGTTCGTTCTCTTAAAAAAAAAAAAAAGAAGAAAACAAAAGCCACCCCCACCCCACACTCACAGCACAAAACCCCATGGAGTCTGATTCATGGTGGCCAGTGACTCCTGAGCATGGGGCCTGCCCAGTGTCAGTCCATTGAAAAATGTTTTCTTTTTTAAAAACATGAGTAGAAATGACACAGATTCCATGTGGTAAGACCAAGTGACCTCAAACTCGTTCTCCGTGCTCCTCATGGATTCCTCTGTAAAGTGGATACTTCACAGGTCACTGTGAGCCGTGAACAAGAGTGTGAGCTGCGTGGCTGGTAAAGATTCAAGCATTGTGGCTGCTTTTCTTACTCCGGAGTGCAATTTAAATCTCTTTCTGTATAGAGAGGCTGCCTACATACATCGGGCTACCTACCTGTGTTCAGATAGGGTAGATGTGTTCGTTAGCTTTCTATATCCCTTTCAAAGGATGTGTGTGTGTGTGTGTGTGTGTGTTTGTGTGTGTGTGTGTATGAGAGAGAGAGAGAGAGCCTGTGTGTGTGTGTGAGTCTGTGTGTGTGTGTGTGTGAGAGAGAGAGAGAGAGAGAGAGAGAGAGAACCTGTGTGTGTGTGTGTGTCATATATGTGTATTAGCCCACATGTTTTCATGTATATAATGTATTTATGCGTATATATCTCCAAGTATTAGCGCATTATGTAAAGATTACATTTCACATTGTTCAAATAACTTTTAAAACTCCATGGCACCTTTACTTAGGAACATAAACTTTTCATCCTTTATTCCCACTTACCCCAGTTTACAGTGCCATGGAACTTTTAGACATAGTTTCATCTTTAACAGTGAGGATGTATTTCAATCACAGTTTTGTGGTAAATATTTTATCTGTTAACATTTGTATGTGAATGATATGTTTGATTCTATACTTACCACAGTGCGCTAAGCATTTTAAAAGATCTGTTTATTCATGTACATTTCGTGTTTACCCCTCGTCCAACTCTGTGTACAGATTTTCCTCATTTTAGAGGTAAGGGCATAAAGGTTCAGCTCACTCACATTAACTTAGAGCTAGCAGTTGATGTAGTTGGGATTTAAATGTAACTGATTTGTTTTGTGTTTGGTTTGGTTTTTCGTTTGTTTTTCATGAGGCAGGGTCTTGCTGTGTGGTTCTGGCTGGCTGGGTACTCTCCACATAGCTCAGACGGACATGGAACTTGAAGCAATCCCCCTGTCTCAGCATCCTGAGTCCTGGGAATACATCGCTACCGTGTTCAGCCAGAACCCATGTTTTTAACTATGAGTCTGTAAATACAATTCCATATGGAATTTCACAATTATGAATAGTTAATAATATTTGCTGTGAAGGCGGGGGTTAATAACTTGACTCCTTCTGGCTTTGTTTTATGCAGAGAGCCTTGGGATCTTAAAAGACTACCCTCACTCAGCTTTTACCTTGGAAAAGAAAGTTATTAAAACAGAGCCTGAAGACTCAAGATAGCTGAGATTCTCCCACTGTTCTCTGGAAATGGCACCAGATTCGAGGATAATGCTCCATCATAGAATAAGCCTTAATAACCAGTGTTGCCTCATTCAGCTCAAACAGATCATAGCCAAAGCGTAAGAACTCACACAGCCGTCTGTGGAAACCGGGACAAAGCCGCAGCCCCAGAGGAGGGAATCAAGAGAGCGTTGCAATGTAACAAACACTGACCATTACCTTCCTGTGTACGTTGTTTGTGTGGAAAGGCTCAATATTGTAGGCATTCACTATTTAAGAATGTTCAATGTGTCTGTTAATTTATAGAAGCAAATCTAGGTGTTGAGACCTTCTGGTCTAATATATGTGGATACCATTCTTTTTACTTGAAATTTTGTTGTCTACTTTAAGTGTATTTACGGTAAATGTTACTCATCAACATTTAGGACTTTTGCAGTCATGAAAAGAAAGATTAAGCGATGTAGTAATTGGCATGGTGGCCGCGACTGGAGAAAGATGGAGGACAGATACGCAGTTCACGCCAAGGAAAAGACGATGTACTTATTACTTGATTAAAATTGATTTTGGTTACTAGGAAATGTGTAGCCTTCACTAAATAATGCCACTTTCATTGGGTTAATCAATGCACAAATTAAAAATTGGAGTAATATTTCCAAGATGAGGTAGGCTACATTCCTGACAGCTGCTCAAGATGTAAGAAAGTGGGACAGAAGCCTTGGAATAAATGGGCTAATGTGTAAAAGCCTTGACTTAAGCATTGATGTTTCAGAGTATGTTAAGTAAATTAAGGCACAGTAAGTTAACCCTAAATGTGATAAAGATGATGATGATGTGGGTGAATTGACATGGAGTGTGTGTTGTTTTTAGTTTTGCTTTAGACCACGGCTGTAATAAATATTAGTTCCTAATCTGTTCTGCTGAACTCTGTTGACCAAAGGTTAGATGAGATGTCCACGCCAGAGTCTCTAATCACAGTCACATGGTCACCTCTCGTTCCGACCTGTAGGGGAGTATTAAAGTAGAAACACCAGTAAACAACTTTTATACCATCAAGAGGCTTTCTTCCCTTCCTACACGTTTCTGTTGGAACATGGCATCTTTGCCTGTTAAGAAGTATCTTAGGGACCTTGACCCCTGTTGCTACCTTGGTGTTGACTATTGTGGTTTCACAGTGTGCTGTGAAGTAGAGCTAGCGTGATACCATTTGAATAGAACATTCCATTTTTAATATTAGCCACAGCACTGGTCAGTGTCCCGGTACTTTCATGAACCATTTCCTGTATTCTGTAATCTATTTTGAGAAATTTTCGTGGTCCTTTTTTAAAAAATGGTGTCTTACAGTTCAAGTTTGTAGATTTTAACATGCAAGTTTTAAAAGATGCAGTGATCTTCCAACTGGTGTTTGTTTGTCTTTCCTGGACCTAGAACCTGCATCTTTAAATCTAGAAGTTAGTTTCCTTAAGTAACCTACTTTTCTGACTTCCAAGCTTAGAGATAAAGAAGCACAAAAAAATTTCAGTAGAATACAGTTTTTATTTTGTAAACACTAATGTATTAAACTTGCTATACATTAAAGCAAATAATATATATTTTTATTTGAATGGTGTATATAAATTAGATGTTATAACTAGTGAATTTTTTTCATTTTGTTTAAGATATTTTCACTGAAAAGGGTCAATTGGTTACCTCAGTATTACAGCCAATATAATCCAAGGGACCATGTCTCCCCAAGTGTGTGTTATCTATCCTTCATTGTGTGGATTCTGTTTAAGATGAGGGGTGCACTTGCTTCCTGTGGCAATAAAGAATTTCTGTGCCTCATGGACCGATGCTGAGAGCCTTCCACAGCCGTGACGCTTGTCCACTCGCCTCCCTTACAGCATGTCAGGGGCAGGGTAACATTATCCTTTTTCTTTCTGTGACGCCGAGGGCTGGACGCAGAGGCCTCACACATGGACCAGGGCTCCACCGCTGAGTGATAATCCCAGCACTCATTTTACGTTTTTATCCTGAGACAGGGTTATTAACTTGGCGCGAACTGGCCTTGAATTCACACTGTAGACCAGATAGGTCATGGTCACCTTGGGAGGCCTTTCCTAGCATGTGGTCCACACGTTTCACACTTGAAATGGCTAAATATTATTGGCACAGCACCATTTTGTGTGTGACTCTGATACTTCTCTGAGTCTTCAAAAGAAAGCCAAGCAGGTTGTCACCGCCAAGAGCAGGAGTCCATCTCTCTCTCTTGTAGGATGTGAGGAAATACGGTAGCAAGTATTTCATTAACAGCCACTTCCGATCCAGCTGTGTGCAAGCATTGTTTCAGGGACCTCAAGCCTGTTCACTTGCTGTGAACTCCGGGCATCCTCACAAATGAGATCCTGCAGCGGGCTCCACCATGACAAAGTGTCCTGACAGTGCTGTCGAAAACACAGATTAACTCTAGAAACGGTGATGATGGCTGTTTCTGTAGTGGCCTACTACAGGCTAGAGTGATGCCTCGGTGATCCAACTCACGCCGGGGGCAGCGTTTTTATTTCTGAATGTGCGCTGGTTAAAGCTTCAGAGCCTCCACGGCTTCTAGTTCCACTGACTTATGAGAACGAAGAAAAAGAATCATTGCTTCTTATGCAGAAAATATGAATCCGAGATTTAAGTTCTTAATTTTTTCAAGTTTTAAATTTGCTTTACACATGTCCTTTGTCTGTTTAGTGCATTTTAACCATGGTTTTTAGAAAAATGATAAATAATAACTGGTTTCATTATAAGTTTGGCTTATTAGAACTCCTTCCTTCATATTCTCACATCTGTTGGGCACATAATTCTTAGGCATTACAACAGTGTCCTTTTGCATTCTAGTCTCCCGGAAGTCTGAGTCTCTGGTCACAATTTCCATGACTGTTCTTCTGAGAGGTCCACTTATGTCCAAGTCTCATAAAGTCCATAGTGTCCATAAAGACATTAAAGGCTGGTTTCTGCCAGTTCATCTTCAACCAAAGAAAATGTTTAATATTTCTATAGTAATTCAATATGACCTTCAAAAAAGAACATTTGAAATAAATCACAGAACATCCATCTTAGGGTTTTTCTCAGCACTCATGTGAAATTCTAGCTACTATTGTTTTTTCCTTTCTTTGTTTGAAAATCTTTGGTGGGGCCAGTGCGATGCCAGTCATTAGTCGGTCCTTGAAGGTTGAGGTGGGGATCTCTGTGAGTTTGAGTTCGGCCTACACAGGAAGACTGTCTCAAAAGGAAAAACATAAATGGGTAAATAAAAACTATATATTCAAGGGTAAACAACAACCATCTGATTTTTTATAAGTGTGCCTATTGTGTGTGCACAGTATGTGAGTGACACATGGACCCTGGCGTACACCTGGGACAGAGGGCAGCTTGGTGGAGCTGGCTCTCCTCTTGGCCTGGGGTTGAACACCCGTGCTAGGCTTGGGTGACACCTTCACCACAAGCCACCTCAGTGGCCTGCTCGTGTAGTTTCTGTGTTCAGCGCATACCGATTACCACAACTAAGACACCTCGGTGGGAAGGTGCCCCCGATTGGGTGTGACTGGCATTTCCATTCTTGGTCGGTTTGCTTGTCTTTGCTAAACTTTCAGTAGAGTGTTTCTGAACTATTCACTCTACACGGCGTCACAGAACAATTTTCCATTGATAGAAATTGAGAAAGACATCAATACAATTTTAGGTTCCAGAACCTTAATCCATTTTTTTTTATGGTCCTAGAGTTGAACCCAGAGCCTCTTGAATCCAAGGTCAACATTGTCCCTAAGCTATGCTCTTAGCATCCTGGTTTTTTTTTTTTTTTTTTTTAATCCTTATAACCACTGTCTATTTAAGTTCTCACGGTGCATTCTCCAAAGAATCAGCTTGCTTCTTCACAAGCCCAAAGAAATGTTCTTACTAGGTGCTGCCATCGGGGCCTGGTGCTTCAGAATGCAGGGAAGTATGTACCATCAGCTCGAGATGGGAGCTTTGCAGCAAAGGCTAAACAGGGTCTTCTCCCTCAGCGTCAGAGTGTCAGCTTTTGAAGTTTCCTAGCAGTCCAGTTTTCTCATCAGCCCACGAAGCTCGCTGTGGGTGAGAGCCCGTGGCATTACAGATCAGCCTGCGCTTCGTATTTACACATTCTGAAACTGAATTATGAGTCATCTTTGTATTAAAAGTTTTCACCTCATAAATTTATGTCTGAAGTGCTATGTTTAGCACCCACACACAGTCCTAGGCCATTCTCCTCTGACTGTCTTCAGCACCCTATCTTGGCAGGTCACTTAGGCTTAAGTACGTAGGAAGATGCCTAAGCAGTGCATGTGTAGGTGGAGTCCTGCCAGGAACCGGCTCAGCAGAGGCATTTGGTGATTTTTCTGAGGCTGTCTACTCACGTCAACTGTCATCTGTGGTCTAGCACCGGACCTGCTCTTGTTCTTCCCAAAGGGCTTTCTTTGTTAGGATGTCCTTTCCCACAGGTTGGCCGCGTCTCACCGTTTTAGTTTTACTTCCCTCTTACATGTATGCTTGCTCCTCTCAGGTCCTGACTCACATGGAGTGATTTCCCACCAACATCTGAGGCTGACAAGGCCATCCTTGCCCTTCCAGCCAGTCTAACTGTTGTCAAAACCCGAATCATTGTATAGATTCATCTTATATGTATGTATGTGTGTATGTATGTATACAAGTTCATCAGCTTTGATTTGATTGATAAAGCACAAGGCAGGTTGTGTGATGTGATGAGATCAGGCTGTCACAGCGACAGCTAAGTACTTAACTCCAATTCTCAGGGTAGCCAATGGCATTTTCCATTTAGAATTAACACTGAAGGTCAAGTAGATGGAGATCGCCTAATTTTTCCAAGAATATCCTTGATACTGCAGTGTTTTCAATGGTGAAAAAGCTTGTGTAACATAGTTTACAAGGGGAAAGTGTGGCTGGAGAATTTCTCTCCAGCTCCCACCAAGCCCCTGCAGTCCGACAGCCCACTTATAATATAAACACACAGACGTTTATATTATTTACAAACTGTATGGCCGTGGCAGGCTTCTTGCTAACTGTTCTTATAGCTTAAATTAATCCATTTCCATAAATCTATACCTTGCCACGTGGCTCATGGCTTACTGGCGTTTTCACATGCTGCTTGTCATGGTGACGGCTGGCAATGACTCCTCCTGCCTTCCTGTTCTCTCTTTTCTCCTCTCTGTTAGTCCCGCCTATACTTCCTGCCTGGCCACCGGCCAATCAGTGTTTTATTTATTGACCAATCAGAGCAATTTGACATACAGACCATCCCACAGCAGGAAAGGTCACTTTTTTCTTTGGTCCCATATTAAAAGACAGAACTAGTTCTGCCCAGTGAGGCAGATGGCCTAGAACAGGTTAATCTAAACTAGTCATAACTGCAACAGTGAGGTATCGCAAATCCACAGTTTCCTGGCACACGGCCAACAGCTTTACATTTAATCTTCAATCTCTATAGGTAAATGTTGTCACCCCAACTCTGCAGATAAGACACACCCCTGAGATGTAGCCATGGTTACTACACACCTGTGCTAGATCATCGCACCGTCAACAGACATCCCTTAAGCCCAGGAACATGAACACTGCCCAGTAAGCATGTTCTACAGATTTGGCTTATGAAGAAACTCCACAAGTGCATGGCATGATGATGTTGATAACAGTATGAACCAGGCACAGAGAGGCAGGATAGCAGCGGAGGCTCCCTGAAGGCAAACAACACACTGAATGCCAAGGCTGGTGCCAGGAGCAAAATGAACCAACTGCTTTGGGACTAAACCACCAAGGCGGGGTGTGAAACAGGCCCCGGCACGTGCTTTTAGGGATGGGGTAGAGAATCCGAGTAAAGATTTAGAAGGAGAATACCGGCTGAATCCAATCCCTAGAAACTCCAGACAAGGTTTATTTCAGAAACAATCAGAAGTATTTTAAGAAAAGAAGTGAAACCGTGAAAAAAAAAAAAATTGGAAATAGCCCAAAATAATACAAACTGGATGCTTGAGTGTTCCAAGAAGCGCCACAGGGTTTGGCTAGGCCTCTGGCTGTGGCAAGAGGTGTGAGGGTTCTGTTGGAATTGTCCAACCTCAGCTCAAACAATGTGCAGAGTAAGGAGTAAAGAATACGCAGTCAGTTGATAGTTCACTCAGCAAACATTTGTCAAGACATTTCCCTGAAGATGTCCAGGCACACACGGGGTTAGGAAGTAAGACACAGACGATCCCAAACTGTCCCTGCCTCCAGGGACACCTCCATCTAGTAGAAGTGGTCTTATAGGTTAAATGTCTAGCTTGTAACCATTGGGTAGAAATTAACCATGGTTATGAACTTAGGAAACAGGCTTTCCAAAGGGAAATTTAGGAAGGAGAGTTTGGTACTCAACATTTTGTTTGGGAGAATTCTGGAGTCGTCAGTGTATGTGGGAAGAGCTACTCTGCAAATATCAGGGAATAACGGAGTAAGCTGGGAATACAGCGCCTTAGGAGTGTTCGCCTAGCATGGGTGAGGCCCTCAATCTAACTCCCAGCACTGGCAGTAGGAGATTGGAAAGGAAAGACCAGAGACAGAGTAAGATCTCAGCTGGAGTTAAGGAGATCTGAGTTTGACCCCAGAACATGTGTAAAAAGCCAGGTGTGGTGGTACATGTCATAGCCCACTTGGTGGTCAGTGAGAGACCCTGTCTCCAAAAAAAACAAAGGGACTGTGTGGAAGGAACAACACAGGATGTGTGTTCTGGCCTACACACACACACACACACACACACACACACACACACACACACACACACACACTCAGAGAACCCTGTGGTTAGTGGTTGAGGTATGTTTTATGTGTATTCTTTATGGAATGTGAGGGAAGGCAGGCTCAAAGAGGCAGCCAATTAGCTGTATTTCAGACCGCGGTTCATTTTAACCTCATTTGCATCTGTAAATTACAGTGGGGAAGAGTTAATGTTACTGTCCTGAACTCTGTTCTCCTTTCCTGCACCCAGTAAGAAATTTCTAGAAGCTCATTTACTGAAAGCTTGCAAGGTTAAAACATTATCATTACAGTTGTGACCTAAATAATCTGGTTTACAAACCAGTGAATCTGGTGCTGGCATCCTCATGTTAATGAAAATCTACCAAGAACTTCCAGAACCCATTGATACTGAGAGATGGAATTAATTTTCATGTTGTGTGTTGCTTTTGTCCTGATTGTGTAATAAGGAAGGAAACAGACTGTTTAAAAGATCCCCCACCCCCACCCCGGCCAGTGTGAGGGCACCTGTGACCTGGCTGTTCAGGAGCTGAGAGGAAGCAGTGTAGAAAACTTAAGATAACTTCAAGCCCAAATGGAAATATCATTTCTTACTGGTTACACTCATTGAAGGCCTTTAAGATGAAATATATATATATTTTAAACTCAAAAGCATGCCAGACATAGTGGCCCACACCTTTAATCCCAGTATGTGGGAGGCAGAGGGAGGCAGATTCTTGGTGAGATCAAGGTCAGTCTGGTCTACATAGTGAGTTCCAGGACAGCCAGAGCTAGTGAGACTGTCTTGAAAAATAACAACAAAAGTAAAAACCTCAAAGGCTCCTTAAGGACAAGAAACCATTGTCCAAGCTTTTCCCGACACACCCAATGAGAACAAGAGCAGGAGGGATTCTAGGACCAGAAATGTTTATAATTGAATACAGAGAGCATCGTGGGAAATGCTGGGAATAAGCAAGAATTTCAAATGATACCCAATGCAACAGGCCTATTCTTTGCTTTGGTTCATGGACGTGATCCTGGAAAATGAGAAACACTGGCAGTCATCTTGGCCATCTTCCAGAGCAGTGGAGATAAGCTCTGTTTGGAACACATTGAATCACCAAGTTATCTTAGAGCTATTTAAGACTGTTTACAAACAAAATCCTGGAGCTCAGATCAAAAATCTCTTATCCTTGTGAACCATCAGTGTTTTATTAAAGCAGCTGAAGCCAGGGCATCTAATGAGAATACGGTCAATGAAGAAGGTGGCCATGGATAAAACTTGGGAAAACTAGCTCATTTGGGGGTAGAATAAAAAGAGTCTTCAAAGAACTAAGCAGCCGGAAAGGTGAGACGACCACCCAGGAGAGGGGCATTCTGGAAGCCAGGTGGGAAGAAGCCGCAGAATGAAGGTCATCAGGAGTAAGAGTCAGGATGAGTTGACTTAAGGAGGTCTTTGTAAAATTTTGGAGAGTGGTACC